GGGAAGTAGTTGGAGAGGTAGATGGCCTTGAACTTGGTGCTGCAGAAGCAGTAGACCAGCGGGTCCAGCAGGCAGTCCATGTAGGAGAGCACCATGAGCCCGTCGAAGGCCCCGGTCACCTTGTCCTGCACGGACTCGTCCAGGTCCTGGACGCGCACGATGAGCAGCACCATGCGGGCGATGGTGCAGGGCAGGAAGCAGAGCGAGAACACCACCATGACGGCCGTCACCAGGAACACGGCGCGCTTCAGCTTGGTCTTGTCGCCGACCGTTTTCTTGCGGAGGCGGTTGACGATGCGCACGGTGCAGTAGAGCAGGATGGCGAAGGGGATGAGGATCTGGGTGAAGAAGACCACCTCCCTCATGCTGTCCACCACGCCCTGAAAACCACAACGTTTTACCGTAAAAATGCGTCGTATTCGTAACTCATCGTGACAGAAATGCCCCTGGGATCAACACCCAGCATTTTGATAAATGCCAAAAAAGCATTTAACCCTTCAAAGCCCGATTCAAGAAAACAGAAACAGAAACTTCCTTTTTTGTTGTTTTAAGTCTATATTTGGGCTTTTAACTAAATAAAAATAAAAAATAAATAAAAATAATAATATAAATAAAAATGCGTCGTATTCGTAACTCATCGTGGCAGAAATTCCCCCAAGACATTTTGATGGATAAATGCCAAAAAAGCATTTAACCCTTTAAAGCCCGATCCAAGAATAAAACAAAACAGAAACTTGGATGGAGAAAAATGGATCAGAAAGGTCCAAATCCAGGATTTACCATGAGGATCTGAGATAGCTGCAATGTTATGTCTCTAAAAAATAAAGAAATAAACTAACACTAAACTAGAATTAAGATTAAAAATGCAATTTCACTGACTGAAATAACATTTTCAAAATGAACCCTTTAAAGCCTGATCGAAGAATAAAACAAAACAGAAACTTACTTTTTTTTAAATTTTTAGTCTATATTTGGCCATAACAACCCCAACATGAAAAGGTTTTTAACAGGGATGAAAAGAAAAGCAGAACATTGCACATTTCAATTGTTCATTTGTACATTCACACCTGTATACGTACTTTTGATATTTGTAACTTAATATTTAACCCTTTAAAGCCTGATCCAAGAATAAAACAAAACAGAAACTTCCTTTTTTTTTTGTTTTAAGTCTATATTTGGCCTTTTAACAAAATATGTAAAAAGAAAAATACATTTTTAATATTAAGAATTTATTACTATGGTATAAGTCAAGATTATTTTTTGTGTAGTCTTCTGCCCCCTGTTATCAGGTGTATCTGATTGTGTACAATAGGATTTTGAGCAAAGTTTATACCATTAAATTATGCAAAAGGTGTCAGACGCAAAACATTTCAGAAACATTATGTATCAAATATGATACGTTTGGCTTTACAGGGTTAAATGAGCTGCTTTCTTATTTAAAGTTAGGGTAAACTACCTTGTATGGATATAGAAATAAACCTTTTTCAGATTAATTCAGGGATTTCCAGTGTTGAAACCTTCCAGCTGGACACAGATAAATGTCCTGCTTGTGGTTTTTAGATGATTTTTTGGACAGAAAAGATGTCGGAAATATGAAATCCAGCACTGGTACATGTTTTGAACGGCTGACTGGATAGAAACTAGTTCTGTTTTCTGTGTGACTTCATCGGCCATCATCAGATGTTTGGGAAATTCTCTAATATAAGATTGCACACATTTGTGGTGACGGATATTACGAAATACTTCCGTAAACGTGTGGAAATCATGGTGCTCTATGGACAGAAAGTCCTGCTGGAGGACTTTCGATCGACCCGACACTGAACCCAAGCTGCTTTACAAACGCAGGAGGACTCAAATAAACTCTGATTAATAAAGTTATCTTTATGTCCGCTCATTTCAGATGGACAGAATGAGACATTTATCCAGATTTGAGGCTGTGATCAGAGATAGCAGCAAAAACCAGCATCTGTGATGGGATAGGGCTGGTGGTCATTATCCATGGATGGATGACCTCTTATTATCAGATATTTTAGGTGGATTAGGAGATACACCACCAAAGTGGAAATGCCAAACATCTCTGGAAACAACTCATTACAGCACATTTGCAAATTGAGCTTTTAAAAAGCTTCGGTGCATTTGAGATAAACTCCCAGTTTATTTGAGGATGGGTTTTATATATTTTTGCATTTGGAACGCTCTAATTAACTATTCTTTTAGCTACATATTAAGAGCTAACTCACTTCGGGAGACAATTTGTTGAAAATAGATGATAGATACATACAAAGTAATGAATTAGAAACTAGTCTGCTTTAATACACAATATTCTCTTTAAGTTGTTATCAGATTCATTCCCTTTAACAGACTAGTGCCCGGGCTCTTTCTCCGTTCGAGGGCCCTAATCTCTCCCTTTGATCTGCTCAATATGGTGTTTGTTCTTCCAGTTTGCACGCGTTCCAAACAGTGGCAGGTTTGACGAGCTCCAGCTAGAGCTGGCGCCGACTCAAAGTTTGTGCCAGCGTAAAAATAACTATGGAAACGAGCTCTGAGTGGAGCTCCTGGGCAGGATCAGCCCCACTCCGCTGAAACCGCATGCCCCGATACGATCGGCCCGCTCAACTTAACATACATAGCAGCTACTGCAGCGGAAAGCTATTAAAAAGCCGGTCTCTGGTGTATATGTGGGTTTTTATGTTTTAAATGCATACAGGCCACTGGAGTGGACAATGGTGCATCATCCAGTAAAAATGAAAAAATGTCCACTAGGATATTCTGTTAAAAAGGAGCTGAGAGAGACAAAAAACAAACAAACAAGAGGTTCAATGATTAAGAGCAAATATTAGAATAGAGTTAGAGTTACATGCTATGTCAAAATATGTTTACATTTCATTTTAACATGCAGTATTTCGATATAAGTATGAGGATTTAAAACATCTGGAAAAACTTTTGACTAAACCCATTTTTGGCCACAAAAAAAAGAGAAAATCAAAAACCATTTGGGAAAAAAATCCTGGTTGACATCATTCACGCATGAGGAGGTTAACGGATCCATTTCCTTATTTTTCAAAGTTGCTCACCCCATGTTGCTTCATTAAGTTTCTCTATCTGCTTTATCAGGGCCACCTCCACAACTTTGCAATTAACTCATTGACTGTCAGCCATTTTCAGAACAGAGAGTTTTTTTATTATCTTGACTGATCTTTCAAGATCCACAGAATAGTTTGTGCTATGACTATGTAAACACCGAACACACCAAAAGAAAGAGTAGACTCTCTTCTTTCATCGGGAAAAAAATGTTTGTTTCTACCTTATCCCGTTCTTCCTCGACGTGCGTCTCACCGTTGCCATTTCTCTCATAGCGAACCATTACGTTTTTTTTATTTGCCTACAGTCTATGCTCATCTCCCATCAAAAGTGGCACTGCCCCCCAGAGGGTCAATTTGTTACTACATACTCTGTCTAGAAGCCTGATATTTATGGACAAGCTTTAGCAGATCGTCCCCCCAGCCACTCTCGTTGAAAAACATAAAAGACGTCTATAGACGTCTTTGGCAGTCAACGGTTGTATTTGAATTGACGTCTATAGACGTCTTTGGCAGCCGATGAGTTAACTAATAACACTGTGGTCAAAATGCTCTTTCAGGAGCTCTCCATTCCTAAGTTCCTGAACGCCCCTTTGAGAGCATAAATGAGGTGCATACCTTGATCAGGGTGTCGTCCTTGTTGCCCAGGCTGTTGCAGCAGTCGAAGTTCTGCAGCATGGTGGGGATGGTGAGGGGCAGGAGGAGGACCCAGATCAGGATGGAGATCTGGGGGGACTTCTTCAGCGCCCTCAGGAGGTTCTTCCGGCCCGGGTGCACCACGTTGAAGTACCGATCGATGGACGTCACGGTGAGGAAGGCGATGCTGGCTCCTCGGTTCAAGAAAAGCATGAAGAGCATGGCCTTGCACACCACCTCGTTCCCGCTCCGCCTCTCCCCCATGAGGAAGTTGTGGGCCTTGATTGGCAGGCAGAAGAGCAGCAAGACGTCCGCCAGCACCAGGTTGAAGAGGAAGACGTTGTTGGTGTTGGACTTCCAGAACTTGAGCTTGAAGATGAAGAGGTGGAGGACGGAGCCGTTGAGGGGCAGAGCCAGGATGAAGATCAGGATGGTGACGGCCGCGTAGAACTTGTAGAGCGACTTGTGCACGGCCTCGCAGTCTTCGATCAACTGATAGGGACTCGCGCCCTGGACCCAGCTCACGTTGCCGCTTTTGTTCATTTTTTACGGCTCTCTTCCCGAGCAGGAAAAAATCCCACTGAGCTGAGGAGTAAATCACCTGGAAGATCAAGCCTCACCCCAACAAACAAAGAGGAATCCTGCAGAACGGGTTTTTTTACCCCTCTGCTTTTTAGAGTCAACGGCTTTCAGCTGCTTTTTAATCCTTGTTTCAGTCTTCTGGTTTGCTTTTCACACATTCAAAGTTGGTTTCCTGTGCAGAGGCAGCTCTGGAAGTCGTTCCCCTCAGAGCTCGGGACGAATGGCAGCCGTCCTGTTTGAGTCGCTGCTCAGTCGTTGCCTCTGTGTGTGTGTAGCTCCTCCTTTTTTTTTTTTTTTTTTTTGTGCCTGAGGTGGTGAGTCACCAGCTGCTTTTCCACTGTTGCACCAAAGAAGCCAGTCAAGCAGCCAAACACGCTCCAAATCATTTGAGATGTAAAAGAGAAAATTCCAGACCAGATAAGTCGAACTGAAAACAAAACCGTCAAAGAGTCAAACTTTAAAGTTTTAAAGTGAGGTGAAATCCTGCCCGAACTTGTCAAAGAGTGAAAAACAGGCAGAGACTTTCCATCTGATATGACGGGAGAAAAAAAAACGCTGTGGGAAGATTTTACCTTCTAGCAATTGGTGCCCACGTGTCCTGAAAAAAGCTGTGAGAAACCAGATAATCTTTCCCAGAAGCTCCGGTTCTCCTCGCCAGATCCCCGGCCCACTGTCGCTTTTTTAAAAATCTCCATCACAGATGCTAAAAGTGTTCCACGGGGGGCTTTTAACAGAAAAAAAACTCCTCAGAGTCCGCGGACGGGGATCTCTGGGAATTGGTGATAGATTGCACACAGGCATGAGAGTGACTTCTACTATGTAAGGCAAAGCAAATGAAGTCGTGTGGAATGTTGCATCCTGAGGGAGAAACTTTTCTTTAAGGGGAGGGGGGGGGGGGGTTAACCCTCTGCCCCGAGCTCTGCGTGCTTTGAACGTTTTTCTCCACTCCGGAGGCGAGTCCAGACAGATCTGAATATTCGCGAGGACACGACCTGTTTCCATGTCTGATCTGGGACTTTTAGGCTCTCTTCTCTCTATGCAGGCCGCTAATCAGAATCAGAATCAGAATCAGAATAAGGTTTATTGCCAAGTAGGTTTTTAGATAGACTTACAAGGAATTTGCCTTGGTGTTTGGTGCACAACACAACACTTCTATGAGAAGCAAGAAATACAATGTAGAAATAAAAATATAGGATAGAAATGATCAAACTGAAATATACAATCTTTAAAAATATATATTTCCCAATGTACAAATGAACAATCTTTAAAAATATAGATCCGAATGTGAACATTTTATCATACAAGGCTTAGATTTTTGCTTTTGCCCGGTCATACGTGCTTTTCTTTGAGCTGCTGGCTCAAATATACTGTGTATACTGTGTAAAACTGAAAAATACAATTTTTAAAAATATAGATCTGAATGTACAAATGAACAATCTTTAAAAATATAGATCCGAATGTGCAAATGAACAATTGAAATGTGCAATGTTGATCTGCAACGACAGACCAGAAAATGCATAAATTAGTCAGGTAGAGGGGGGTGGGAGAAGAATAAGTGGGGGCCACTGGCCTTGTTGATGAGGCCAGTTGCTGCTGGATAAAAACTGTCTTTATGGCGTAAAAATTTTGGTCCTGATGGTCCTCAACCTTCTGCCAGAGGGGAGAGTTTCAAAGAGTTTGTGACCGGGGTGAGAAGGATCAGAAAAGTTTGAAACCGATTCAACCATCATCAAAATGAAGCAAACACAGGGCTACTTGACACTAGATCTGAATTTTGCCCATTTTATTTACCGATTTTGTTGAAATAAACCAAACAAAACTCAAAAACCTGGTTCCTAGAGACCTCATTCCCCCACTTCAGCACACATAACTTGAATTAACAGCTCATTTACAGGTTTTTGCAGGTTTTTGAGGTGCCTGGGGGCTAGAAACTCCAAAACGATGGCTAAGTTTACAGGTCTATCCACATTTAAGTTAAATCACGTGTACAATATAAGTCTCAGACATTGAAAGCACCTCCTGTGAGCGCTTTTTACTCTACTTGACTCATGCCTCTTGCAGGTTTGTGGTGTTTTCTTTTTCTGCTCTTGTGTTGCTGTAACATGTGTATTTCCCCATTGTGGGATCAATGAAGTAGTCTGATCTAATCTATTCTAATTAAAGCTTAAAGTTTGCCACCAAGTGTAAAAAAAAAAAAGGCTGAGGAGTCCAACTGATGATCAAGATAGACATAGACATAGACATAGACTTCCTTTATTGTCATTGTCAAAAACACAAGGTGAATTAGACAACGAAATGTCAATTTCTTGGCTACCAGAGTAAAATTTTTTGCAACGAAATATCAATAAATATGTGTGTGTGTGTGTGTGTATGGGGGGGGGGGTTACGTGGCGTTAAGTAGTCTGAAACCTTTATCCTGAATTGCTTGTTGAAGTTGAGCTAATGTGCAGATGTTACAGATGTTAAATCACTATAAGTGGAGACATGCTGGAAGACATATTTAGTTTTGAACATTTTATTTCAGAGTCAGTGAAATTGCATTTTTAATCTAAATTCTATCTTAGTGTTTGTTTATTTTTGTCTTTTTTAGAGACATAAGATTGCAGCGATCTCAGATCCTAATGCTAAATCCTGGATTTGGACCATTCGGATCCATTTTGTGCACGGTGACATGCGAGTGGTGGTAAATTTGGCCATTTCCGTTAGTTTTGCAGAAGCTGATCGCATCTCTATGCGTGAGAGAGATGTATGAGGCAGAGATGGTGCTGATGGCCGACGTCTCAGTGCCCGATGAGGAAGAGATGAACACACTGCTGCGATCGTGCTGTTTTCCTGTCAAAAAGGCAGGAAATAAATGTTTTTTTGCAACCACATTGAATGTCCTCTGATTCTGAGGCTGCACAGAGAAGGAGAAACAATCATGATCGTCACTTTAATTGTAATTTAATCAACAAAATACACTATGCTGACTACACATGGATTTAAATGCAATTTAAATGCAATTAAATGCAATTTAATCAACAAAATACACTGAGCTGACGACACAACTGTCTTTCTTCTGTTTTTTCCTGCTTTGATATTTGTAAAAATCCTCTTTTTTTATTCTCTTCCTTCCACCTTTCGTCTAGTTCAATCTACAAAGATTTGATTGGGTACTTTAAAAAATGGAGGCTGCACCTGTTTGACTCTGCAAATGATTTGTGATGATCAAGGGATTTTTCCAAACCCTGAACTTCCCTCTTGAACTAGGCTTTCATTGCACTTGGAGTTACTCAGTAAACTTAACAAGGAGCGGTCTCGGTGTGATAAAAACGAAGGTTTGCCGAGCAAAAGCTGACGTCACCCAGGTGAGAACAGCTTTTATTCAATGACAGTTAAAACCCAACACTGTGGATCTGTTCTGTGAGCTCATAAAACGCTGAGCTCACATGATTTTATTATCGTTTCACTGCAATAAAACCAACAAATGCCACCCTTTTGTCTGGATATTTCCAGTTTGGGGCACCAGTTTACCAGTATATGTGATTATCAACCTAAATTAATGTGTTGTTTTGGTTTGTTTTAATCAAGAAAAGGAGACCACTGCAAAAAACAGGTTTCTATCCAAGACTTAAAGCTCTCTATGCAGTCTTGAGTTTGACAATTATTCATTAAGCAGGAGAAAGATATATGAGTTATTAAATCTAAACTTAGAATTTGTTATTTAGTTGCTCATTCAAGTTAAACTGTCTATATGTTTGAGTGCTCTTTTAAGTAAGAGAAAAGCTAAAGAAAAAGGTGGTTTTTCAGGCCATTTTTTTGTTATTTTCTGTCACAGTGAAATGTTTAACCACAAGAGATAGATTTTGACTTTAAGAAATTTTGGGAAAAACAAATTATTTCAATAATTCACTAGATTCTAGGAAGATTTTCTTAAATTAGGGCTGTTTTTGCAGATTTACTTCACTATATTTGCTGCTATGACTCTTAGTTGTGGTGACTCTGCACATTTTAAGCATATTTTATAATACAAGGCTTAGATTTTTGCTTTTCCAAAGTCATAGGTGCTTTTCTTTGAGTTGCTGGCTCAAATTGACCGAGTTAGGGTTTTGATTGGACGTTAAGAGGCTCTTCACCTTTGTCCTTACAGGATAGTCTGAAGCTCTATGAAAAGTCTAAACAGATATTTAACTCAGATTTTCTTTCCGAACAATGGAGTCCAGCAGGGAAACGGAGCGTCTCTCAGCAGGTCAGATGTTTTTTCTGGGCTGGACAGAAGAAATTGGAAGCAGTGGGAAGCTGACTTCCTCCCTCCTGATTCTGCTCTTGAAACCAGAGAAAAAAGCCAAAGGTTCAGCAGCCGTTTTTATCTGGTTTCTGTGGGAGATCCACACAGAGAAATCCAGGATCAGGCCGAGAGGGCGTTTCCAGAGTCGGCAGCCAAGAGCAAACTAGCACCGACATTTATCTTCTTCACCAGACAGACACTCCAACTTTCTCACCCCTGCTAAAAAATAGTATCACTGTGTCATATTCCTCAAGCTGAAAGACAAAGAAAAGCACAGCTTTAACACGGGAGACATCTTATTCAAACGAGTTAAGAGCAATAAAACTGTCTCTGATGCAAACGAATGGCTGAGCAACTACAATTTCTGTCAAACTTTTAAAAAATTCACAGTAAAGAAAGAAAAAAAGGCTAATCAGGCTTTAAAAGCTGGTATTTAAAAGCTGAATATTAATAAAAGCGGAAGCGGATCAGCACATTTAAACGCCGCTTCATTTTGAATTAATAAAAAAAAACATGTCAATACTCCCATTCCTTCGGGGGAAACAAGAAGAAGAAATAAAGAAGTTATTGTTAGTTTTCAGAAAATCCTCAACGACACAGAGGCTGAGGCTTGAACTTGGAAACTCGATACTTTGACCGTAATGAAACGAAAACACAAATTCCTCCCGGTCGGAGCAGGAGGAAGCGAAGCCGGGGTCAAAGGTCAAGAGCAAGCTGCAACAACAACCTCGTTTCTTAATGGCGCGCCAAACAACACAAGCCGAGCCTCCACACCTCTGGAGTTCCCACGCGCTCCGCCGCTGGAGACACCGGAACGCCGATAACCCGGAGTCACCGCTTTCCCAAGCTCCCGCCGGATTCCCGGCCGGATTCCTGACCGGATTCCTGACCGGATTCCCGACCGGATTCCCGACCGGATTCCCGGTCTACTTCCCGGCCTGAATCCCGGCCGGAATCCCAGTCCTGCTTCCCAGACGTATTCCATGCCGGATTACCATCCCTGCTTCCAGGCCTGCTTCCCAACCGGATTCCCGACCGGATACCTGGCCTGAATCCCGGTCCTGCTTCCCAGTCCTCCTTCCCGGTCCTCCTTCCCAGCCTGATTCCCAGTCTGCTTCACTGCTTCCCACCCTGCTTCCCGGCTCTGCTTCCCTGAATCCCTGTCTGATTCCAAGTCTGCTTCCCGACCTGCTTCCCGACTTGAATCCCAATCCTGCTTCCCGGCCCTCCTTCCCAATCTGCTTCCCGTCTGCTTCCCAGTCTGCTTCCCAGAGCAGCTGAGCCGGGAAGCATCAGGCCGTTATCCAGAGGCAGGAGCAGAATCGGGAACCTGGAGGGGCGGCGTCCTCCACATCTCCATCGCGTCGGGGGGATTCGTCATCCTAAATTCTTAGGATTAGATCTTGGGTCACGATGTTTTTATTGAGTATTAATGAGTCATAAAACAGGTTTTTCAGTTTTTTTCAGTGCTTTAAAAGCCCCTTTTGTTCTGTCTTCCGATGGGGTGCTCTCCTTTTTTCTGCCTCAATCCAGCTTCCCCTTCTCCTAATTATTATTATTATTATTATTATTATTATTATTATTATTATTATTATTATT